TTTTTTACCAGAAGAGAGTAAATGTGAGATAAATATAACTTTGACTTTTGAATAAATTTTTTATACATTTAGTTTTTTTTTTTAACTTTTGATTTTTGATTTTATAATATTATTGGTTGAATCATGAGCCCAAATTATTAAAATTAAAATTTTGATTCAACTTAAATTTTTTGAGGCCTTTTTATAGGACTTAAATTTTTTGTAAAGTTAAATTTTTGACGTAGATTAATTATAGTGAAAATTGGAAGTGAGTCCCCTTAAATGTATTTGTTTGGAAATAAGTCCTATAAGGAAATTTATAATAGGCTAAGTTCATGTTTAAAATTATATATAATGACTTAAATCAACTTTTTTTTATTATCTCAAAAATATCATTCCTTGAAAAGAAGTTAATTTTTTCTCTCTCATACCTATCTATATTTATATATATGTTAAGAGTTTGATTAACATTAAAATTTTTCCTCTCTTGTCTATCTATATCCATATATAAGTTTTATATATATATTATATATATATAATATTAAAAATAAAAAATAGTAACATTCAAAAACAATGAAATATTTATTTATTGTTTAGTCAGTAAAAAACTAATAACCTCAATAACGGTCACATTCAATACAAAGTACTTGTGTAACAATTCGAGAAATTAGACAGTCTTATGTAGTCAAGATAGACTTATGACAAAACATTGCACTACAATTCTATTAATGGTGTGTCTCATGCCATCTGAGAATATGAATCTTTATTCTGTATATAAATCAAACTCTACACACCAAATTAGTGAGAGAATATTAAGTTTATTTTTATTGGGCCATTAAAGTTATAATATTTTCTAGTAGGCCCCCTCACTTCAAAATTCCTGGTTTGAATTTCACTAGTTTAGGAATGACTTAAACAACTTAATATGCTAGCTTATTGAGTATTTCATCCCAGTCCATTAAATAACATTGCTTAAAATTGCAGAACATATTGAGTCACTGGCTAGTTCATTGTGCGGCAAACTTTGCCCTTGTGGTAGACAGTGAAATGCCATGGAGGTCTGATTTTTCTCCATGGCTGCTAATGCAGGAGGCTCCACAGGATAGTAGACCAGACATGGCATTGTATGCAATTGTTGCGATGAGTGTATTTGCAGCCTCAGTAGGATGATATCCATCGAAGTAAACGAACTCGTCGCGATTACTGCATGGAACTTGCCGAGGAATACATTGACCTTTGCCCAAAGTAGTCGATACATTGCAGCATGGACTGTCTGCTACTGTAAAATCTGAAATTGAAATCTGAATTTAATTAGTTCTAAGGTATCGAATTCAGTAACTTATCGAAAAATAGAAATGATTAGACTTAATGAGATTAAAAAAAAAATGGATCGATTCCACCAAGTCGTAACTTGATCTGATTAATTTATGATTTTTGAAAAAGCAACTCCCGAGACTCTAGTTATGTGCGGTGGTTACACAAGCAGCAAAAAAGGCCTTTTAGGATAAATTAGATTTTGATCTTCTTAATTATGCCCTTAACTATCACGATTCACAAATTATGCACTTGCCACTATTCCAGTTGGTCTCACATTACCCCCCATGAATTATTACATTCCTCACATTGCACCATTTAAGAACTTAAAAACACGTTTTTTTTTGGTTTAATGGTCAGGAATGTCTGCGTCAACTTACGTGTATCTCAACTAATTTTCTCCCTGGTCCGGTTAAAGGCAGGTCATTCATGCTGGGACTAGAGTATTCATGAGGGATAAAACTCTAATAACTTGGCCCCAAGGAATTATCAAGATTCGAACTCAAAATGTCTGAGTTTGCAACTCTTCTCTGTTACCATTTAAACTATCTTTTAGGGTTAAAAAGCGCGTATTTTACTACACCTACAACATTTCTGCCCAAAACACAATGAACGTTTAATTTGGAAGCAATGTGAAACAACTTCAATTAGTTGAGGGGGGCAACGTTAAAAAGTCAACAGTTGAGGGGTAAAGTGTGATTACGTCATAATTAACAAAATATAATTTTCCCATGTAGAAAAGTTGAAGTAACATACCATTAGACGGAGAAACCTGGGATGAAGAACCAGATGCATCAATATAGGAAAATTCTGCATCAGTTAGCTTGTTCTTGAGGTCATCAACAAGCAGCACGAGTTTGTCATTGAATAGTTGGGCTGCACTGTTCATCATTTCCACACATGAAGATTCATTTGTGCCATAGGTAGTCAAGGCTTCTGGAATGCAACCCAGTTGACCAGCTCCAAAAACAGCTATTTTTCTTGCTCCATACTTGTACAAAGTCTAAAAAATAAAGAAAATAGCAGTAAATACCACCTTAAAGACCCCTTTAGAACATGTAAACAAGAAATTCAAAAAAAAAATTTTAAAAAGAGAAATAATATGTATCTCAAATTTATAACCCAAATTTGCATCCCAAATAAAGGAGATCATTGGATAAGTGGGTCCCATCAATTTTTTTAAATGGGACCCATTGATTCAATGGTCCTCCTTCATTTGGGATATAAATTTAAATTACAGATATGAGTTACATAGCATTGTTCTTTTAAAAAAGGACAAGTTGCACGATAGAATCAGAAAAAAATTATCCATCAATATCTAAGTAGAGATACAATAGGATCCAAATAGATATTTCATCGATATCTGGATTTGTTTAGATAAATACAGATGATGATAGAAATGTGTGATTTATTTTTATCTTGTGTAATTCTTATCCTATAAAAATGATTGAGATTCATATAATCAATCACATTCAATAATACATCGATGTAGCTCATAGGACATTATATCCATGGATGTAGGCAATTTTACGAATCACTTAATTCTTTGTGTTTCGTTTTTCTATCATTATTCATTTATTTTATTGTCAACCTCTCTTTCATTTTAAAATTCTACAGATCTCACTTTGCTTTAAAACCATACGTCTGACATGTTTTGAACCAAAAACGTCCAAAAGTTTTACTATAATATGCATTTCCAATATCTATATCGAGGGTATGATAAATGTAAAAACAATTACCATATATAGTCAGGGAGGCAATGCAAGAAAAGTGATAACTAAGGGAATAATATGAAACCAATAACAATATCGGGAGATGAAATTTTAGAACTTGGTAGTTGAGAGGAACTGTGAAACAGGGGACGTAGTAGAGAGGGTAAAAGTGTAATTTATCCTTAGAAAATGAGATAAAAACTCTTATACTACTGACCTTTAGCTGTTGAGAGTATTGTTTAACAAGTACTTTGGCATACTGCTCTGGTGTATATAGGCTGCTTGTTGGGTAGAACTGTGGCATAAAGTAGTTGTTGAGATAGTCGTTATTGCCCATTCCAACGGTATATAAGCAGCTGCTTAGGTACTCTTTTGCTAAAGCTTTACTCCCTAGTAAGGTAGCAATGTGCCGAATTGTGATTTTATGATTTGACAACTGCGCATTCAAGCTGATCCGAGCACCCTGTGGTAAGACAATAGAGTCAAAGTTTGTGGGGGTGTTGCAAGATCGGAGAACGGTTGCATGGTAACCCATACACATCTCATGTCGTTTGGTGAAGTGTGCATGAAGTTTTAATCGATACATGTTATTCAACAAGCATTAAAGCCTCGCTTGTTTTTTAGTATCAAAAAAATTCATCGCTGAAAGTAAATAATTCATCAACAAATATTAAAATATTTGGCGACCAATAAAAATATCGTCCCTGAAAATAGAGAATTAGCGACCAAAACTCAGCCTCAAAAAAATTCATCTGGTTGTCACCAAAACAACATTCGTAGTTGAAAGAGTTTTGATTGTGGTCACATTTTCTCGTTTTAGCGATGAAATAGTTTTCTTCGCTAAAAGCTAATAAAAGTAACCATTGGCAGCAAGCCCAAGCCTTGGGCTTATTAATTGAAACACGAGCTAGCCCAATGAGGTTTTAACGGGTTAAAATTCAGCATGGTTCTTAAATGGGCCTTAACTGGGCTACTGGGTTATAGCCTATTGGGATATCCGATCCTAAACTTTCATGCCCAACCCACCAGGCTGATGGTCTGCCCACGACTCTGCCTAGAACGCAATTAGTCCGGTGGGTTGTCGGGTCATCAGGGCTGCTCATCAAGCCTTGAGTATTTTGCTGACCATTAATAAAAAGTGAAAAATATTGTACAATACGAATTCAGGGGATGTTATAAGGTCAGGGGAATACCAGTTGTTGTCCGGTTTCATCTCGAATTCCAGCTGACCCAGATCCATAATTCACACCTTTGAGAATATCCTGGCCTCTTGCAGTTGCAAAGGGAGGAATGTAATCATCAAAACCTAGAAGTTCAGCTGTGACCATTGAGTGTTCAATTTCAATCAGTATCATAGTTATGGCTATCAACTATTACCATTAAACTTCAGAAACTTCATGAAACTTGTGACTTATATATAAAACCTAAATATCAAAGTTGCAGTTGATTATTTAATGATTATTCTAGTTTTAGTAACTTTGAACTGCTCACTTCACCCTTAAACTATTGAATTATTAACATCACCCAAATGTTTGTTATCATCAAATAGTTCATCATGGGTGTAATGGGAATTTGGTAACGGTGTTTTGTGAGGAACATAATAGTTGATGACAATGATGAGGCAATACCAAGTGGAAACACCATAGTTTAAAGGGGGTAAATTATATTTTACCTCTTTGAATTATTATCTTTATTTTATTTTGCACCCTTAATTATAAAATTCTTGCATTGTATCTTAAAAAATTAATTTTATTTTATATCATTCCAATAGATAACGACTGTCAATTTTTTTACGGTAAATGCACATATGAGTGGTTTGTAACTTTGTATTGCTAATAAGCAAGTGTCAATTACACATGTGTATATCAAAAATCAAGAAAAATACTCATTCATACCTTTACCTTTTCTAAGCTCCAAATTTTTTTCTTCTAACCAATCTTCTTTTTCTTCCCAGCAACCATTTGATTGCAAAAGAGGTAAAATAAAGTGGTACTGTCTACTAAGCACTTGGTGGGAAACTCTTTGAGATTTTTCTCCCTCATTTGATATAATTTCAAGTTTGTCATTATGTATTAAAGTGATATAGAATGAAATTGATGTTTTAGGGTACAATGCGAGAAATTTTATAGTTGAGTGTGTAAAAAGTAAAAAATAATAATTCAGGGAGCAAAATGTAATTTACTCTTTCAATGGTCAACGTATAACTTTCCCATAGATGAAGTTAAGTGGGAGAAAGGGGGTGGATAAGAAACAGACCCAAAATGTCGGCCATATTCCGGCCGTTGGTGAATCTCCCAGTTGGACCATCGGGAAAATCAATTCCATAGGGAGGATAATTGGCTCTGGCCTGAGTCAAAAGGTCATTGTTGTTGCCATTATCCACCAATGAGTCTCCAAAAATGAAGTAACAAGGGACTTGTGGTTCACCACAAACCAAAGGTTTCAAATTCAGAAACAACAACAGTACTGTGGAAACTATACACCAAACATTACACCCAGATGCCATTGTTGAAGTCGAAGAAAGGAAAATAAGGAAAGGAAAGTAGGTGGAGAAGAGGAAGGAGAGGGAGGAAAATTTGTATGAGTAGAAAAGGAATGGTGTGAGGAAAAGGAAATCCGAAGGAGGAAATATATATAGCCAGTGGAATGGAGGGTAGACAAGTTTGAACGATAACGGACTGGGAACTGTTGAAGGGGCCACTTCTTTTTTGCACAAATCAGGAGTTTCACATGGCATAAATCTGTGTAAAAGGAAAAGTTGTGTTTCTTGGGTCCAATCAATTGGATTTAAATCCTCCGTATTATCTATTGTTTTAATTTTACTCAATGATATTGGTAGATGGAGTGTAGCTAGGCGTGTCAGAGTTTATTTTGAATTTTGACTGATGTGAATTTAAATTTAATTTTAAAAGCTGATTCAATAATTCAATAGATTTTATTTTTGTGGTTTATATCCGAGTTCATTAGTTATTCGAAATTTGATCCGATCCAAATAACTAAATTTTAACAAATTATACCTAAATTTCTTCAAATAATCAATTAATTTCTTTAATTTTTATATAAAAATATATAAATAATTCGGATCAACTCACAATCGAATTGGATATAAGTATATTTAAATCCGAATCCGTAAAATATAATATATCGGATTTGAATTCAAATTTAAATTATCGATAAAAATTATCAATCTATATCTGACTGATTGAATTTGAATTCAGATTATAATCCGATTCATTGACAGACTTAGGTGTTTGAGTGAGAGAGTATAACCTTATAGATAAAAGGATGGTTTAGTGCTTCTATATCTTGACAATGAAGAAATGTGATGTGAGGGATGGGTAAAGAAGGACAATAACATGGAAAAAAAACTCACTCGATTCCAAATATCGACATGAGAGACCTTTTTTAAGGATTTCAACAAAAGAAAGGTGTGCTGACGGAGTTAACCTCAGTCAAATTGCCATGGCCAATCTTTAAAGGTTTTTTTTTATCATTGGAAGCGATAAAAATTAGATTCAAATCCGTTTTAATATATATTCTCTTTATTTTTATTTTTTTTGTAGGTCATCCATCATTAATGAGTGCGAGATCTATCTATATATTATGGGTCTCTTTTGAATACATGATAAGTGATCTATTAATATAGAAATTGAAAGAACAAATGCATTAGAAGGATCTCACACCATAAATAAAAAACGAACCCTTCACCACATTTTGTAGCCATGTCAACACAAAAGAATTACTTGTGTTTAATGGAGTAGGTTGCACTAAAAATATCATGGAGAATTTAGTTATGCTTTGGTAATATTTTTTAAAGTATTTTTTTGGAAATTTTTTAAGGTTTGTTTTTGCACAAGGAAGGTCAAAAATATTTCTATAAAAATTTTTGCCGACTCCTAGTTTCTTAATTATGATTTTTTTTCACTTTGTTACTGGAGGTGTTTAAATTTTTGATTACTCATAAACTTTGATCTTATCTTACCCTACCTAACGTTACTGATTAGCTATTCGAAAAAATTGGATAGGCTAACGAAAGATCTTTTAATATTTCACAAAAAATCGGACAAAAATACGAAATACCTATAAAATTTTTGTATTCCTACCCTACCTTACCGATTATATATATATTTTTTTTAATTCCTAAAAATTAAAATTCAAAAATCTAGAAACCTTAATATTTTATTGATGGTTATGATTTATTGTGTTAGTTAATTGGTGCGGGTTACTCAATTAAATTGTTAAAATGATTCAAAAATTAATAACTAAAAAATATGTGTTCACCCGATTTTCTACCTAACTTCCTACCCGATTGTTTTGGACCGAATCGGATAAGAATACTACACTTGATTGGATAGGGTAGGCCAAAAAAAATTCTCCTATAAAATATTGAATAACAAGATAAAATACCATAATTTCTATTCATAAAATACGATGAACACCCATACTTGTGACAAGTTTTGCCAGAATGCTTCTTATTGCAGAAACTAAACCATATTTATCCAATATTTACAAAAAGTGATGTAATGCATATTAATATATAACAATAATACACTTAGTTTTACATATAAATATATATATATATATATTTAAAAAGATTGTAATAAATCCGGGAAAATAGAATAAAAAAGTAAAACAAATACTGTTCCAAAAAAAATTAAAAATAAAAAACCAAAAAAAAAACTATTTAAATTTGGTACCAAGCTTTGGCTACAGTGGTTTGAGAGGACATTATGCATTAAATGAATAAGCCATACTAGTGGAGTGATAGTGACAAAAACAATTCAATGCTTGGCTTTTTGCTATTTTGGTTTCATTTGAGCAGAAAACAAGGACAATAATATTGGAGAAGGGTGAAATAATAATTGCCTTCCCTTAGAGCACGTGACTCTTCAAAATTTAATGGATTGGACTATTTTGGAGTTGTTTATTATTTACTGTGTTCTTAAATATATGTTGTTTTATATAATTTTTTTTATTTTATAATATTTATCGTTTAATGAAACAAAGTATAATTAATATTTTTTCTTTTAAATTTACCTTTAATTTTTCAATATATTAGATTTGGTGAAGGCTAAGTGTTTTTCATTCCCAATACATATTAAATAAGGGTATTTTAGTCTTGTACAATTAATTTATACGCATATTAAACTATTTAATAATTTCCTCAATTCCTGTACAAAAATTTTAAACGATTGATATTTAAGAACGGAGGGAGGACTATACAGTTCTTTTAAAATAATATTATCGGTCTACGACAGTTTTGAATTTATTTATTAATTATGTTATTTTTTAAAAATGATATTTTTAACAATAAAATAGAATTAATAATTCCACGTTTAATATTAAAAAAAATTAAAAAAAGTAATTGAAGAATATGCTTTCTACTGGCGCCAGCACACTCACGTCCTTTCATGTCTGCCAAGGTCACAACCTGGTTCAGAAATTTTACTCAAGACAGAATTTAGAGACGAATTTAAGCATAAAATGAACTTAATTCAAAAATTCCCACCCCTTAAATTTCATTATGCATTCCATTTAATCTTCTTACTTTAAACCAATAAGATTATTTCATCTATACTCACCTCATTAATAACTAAATTCACTTCATTTATATTCATCCGATTAAACTATTAAATATGTATTCAAAAAAATCGAAATAAAAATAGTAATTAAAGTAAAATTTCAGTATTTCAGGTAATTTAGAATATTTTGAAGTGTTTTGAGATATTTTAACATATTTTCACAAATGTATTCAGAATATTTTGGGGTATTTTAAGATATTAGTATATTTTGACTAATATTTTAAAAATAAATTATTAATTTTTTTATTCTGTTTTTTAAATATTTATAACATCCCTGTTTTCATTACATAATAGCTTTGTCAAAATATAATTGATCTAATGGTATTAAATGACAAATGATGCCATTGACTCATTGCATGAAAAAGACTCACTGCGTGCACTATATACCAGCCAGTAAAAAGAAAGCGTATTTCTTAATTACGTTTTTTATCATTGAAAACAGACTTGTTAAACCTGTTTTTATTATTAAAAATAAATTTATTGGCTCAATTTTTAAAAAATATCGTATTTTAGTAAATAAATTTAAAAATATCATATTTTCATAAATTTATTTTTAAAAAATTATATTTTGATAAATAACTCCTACTTTTGTCTTACTCCTAAACAAGCTCTCTTCTCATGCACCCAGTTAAATCATTGTAAGGTTAATTTGTTAAAAATGGGTATAACATATCTTTTATAGTTTAACATGCCCTCTCATGTATCGACTAAAATTTGAGCCTAACACAGAAGTTTATTACCCCTCACGGTGATGGTGATTTCTAGATATTTTAATGCAGGACTTTTGACTATGACATTAATGGTGAAGAAATTGGTACAAGGTGAAAAGATCATTTAGTCTAAGTTCAATTCAGCTTGTCCGAGTTTTAATTTGAATAGGACTCTGTATATATTAGGATAAAATGACTACATGGATAACAACAAATCAACATATAAAGATAAGGATCTATGTGATTAACTCGATCATCAATAGTGCAGCTCCCTTAATATACTCTGTTTTTGGCATATTGACATTATTGTAGGGCCTTCAGCTCCAGTGGGACAATCATATAGGGACAATGTTGATTTATATCTCTATTAATATACTCTATTTTTAGCGGAGACAGCTCCAGTGGGACAATCATATAGGGACAATGTTGATTTATATCTCTATTAATATACTCTGTTTTTAGCGGAGACATAAATACTTGAGAAAGAGAGTAAGGGGATCTCTAGATTGCTCCACAACCAGTTATTAGAGATCTCATAGGATATGATTCAAAAAAATCCAATAATATTCACTTGATTTGGCTAAGGGACGGTGAAACCATGTAATCAATGCTACACTACATGGTATCATCAACTAATTGTAAAATAACAATTAAGATAGGTGACTCCCCACTATTCCAAGATGACATGTATAAGATAAGATAGTTATTGGTAGTTATTCAAATAATAGAACCAACTAAATTTATTTGGTATTCTGTCGCTGGTTGGTGACACAATGTAACATTTATGACTTAGTGTCACTGTTGCACCCAATATTTTCTCGTGGGTAAGTGTACTCGATGACCATGGCCAATTGTACCTTTATTTTATGCATTTTTATTTGTAATTTTGTTTTTTATTTTTACATTCCTTTTATATATCCAATTTTTGTAATATTCTAGAAATAATGAGGCATGCTCGTGGAATCTTGACTTCTAGCTATTGGGTTCTTTTGAGGTGAAAAACAAGGACAATGATTGATAGAGGTGAATATTGGTCTTTCATTGATGCATGTGACTCTTTAGAATTTGATGGATAGGACTATTATGTCATACTTCTACACAATTTCAGTGTCGCGTGATATTACTGTTTAATAATAAAATAATAAATAGATAAATAATTTTTACACTATTTAGTAACTACGCCCTGGATATAAGATAATTACTAGCTTTTTATATATAAAGAAGTAGAGTTCACCATACTTATTTATAAATTTATTATTGAACGTTGATATCCCGTGGTAATGATGGTGTGATATCATCGTTAGACTTGACATTTCCTCCAT